TAAGGTAAATTTAAAAGTATTCTAAAACCTACTTACATGTTTTCTATAGAGCGGCCTTCCAGTTGACCTATCTATCTGTATTGGGGTTTTTAGCATTGAATTTTTTCCAATATTACTATTATTGAACTAAAAATGTTTATTAAATTGATCATTGTGTTGTCTTATTAATTAAGTGCTTAATCCATATCGTACGAATGTCTGTTATTGACTTATAAACTAAATATTTGTCGAATGCATAGTTGACAGGGGATAAAAAGGCAGAGAAACCAATGGTTTAGATTTATGATTAATGCAAATCTCAACTTACATTTATTGCTTTAACGTCTGTTTACCTAAATAATAATTATTCTAAGTTTATTGATTATTTGATCGTGAATTCGAAAATCGTTTGTAAAACAACTGACACGCTTAATAACTGATACAATGAATGGTTTAGAAATATCTACATAAAAGTGGGAATTGAAAGGTTTAAAAGGCACTTTTATTCCTTCAAGTATCATTGTTTAAGTAACTCAAAACCATTAAATAATGATAGTAAGTCAAAGAAAGTTTCTGTGACTGGCCGAAATTAAGAGCAGAACCGCTGATAACCAGAGAAAATTTAATGATTGTTTCATGTTATTTCAAGACCGTATAGCGGAGCACATTTACGACTTCATAAGAAACCGAATCGGACACATTTGCTTTCGTTTCGAACAATAATGGGGTGAAGCCTACAATTCATGTATTCAACTTCAATCCTTACATAAATCAGTGAAATGTTTGTAATTTATTCTGATTGGATTTCGATTGCTAGTCCAAAAGTGTATTTGTTTATGCATACATTTTACGTCAAGTAAACTGTGTATTTTATAGTTTTCGTTCTTTAAATTGAGCACATTACGATGTAAACACATAAGAGTAAATGACTACACTATTGAAAATTTTCAAAATTACAGTGTTTTGAGAAAATCAGTACATTATGTCTTACTAAATTGTTCTTTTTTATCGATAAGCACGATGCATTTCTGCATTTTAATGGCATTTTTTCATATTCCCCATTGAAATTTATTTTCTAATGGTCATATATATATGCCTGCTTACGCCTGTTACCACTCGTGAAGGAGAATAGGTTGCCCACCAGGATTCCCCACCAAACTCTATCATGAGAAATCATTTCCAGTTGTTGCTCATTCTTCTGATGTCTGTTTCCGATTGCCGACGCAATGTATCCCTCGGTCTTCTTAACCTCCGTTTCCCCTCAGGAATCCGAGTTATCACTTGCGTCATGATGCAATCTGATGATTTTCACAATCTGTGTCCCACGCACCTGCAACGTCTTTTCCCGATCTCCTCTTCAGATGGTGGGAACTGGTTTGTTCTCGTTCGCATAGTAGGCGATTGCTGACGGTATCCTGTCAAGGGACATCGAGTGTTTTGCATAGACCATTGTTTACGAATACTTATAGTTTTTCGAAGACAGTTGTAGTATTTGTCGTTCTCGTTTCAGCTGCTCACATTATAATTTTCTTGACGTTGGTATTGAGGATTGTGACTTTGATATTTTTCGACAGTTGTTTTGAGTTGAATATGTTGTTCAAGTGTAGGAATGGTGTTATTACTTTTCCAATCGTTGCCTTCACATTTGCATCAGATCCTCCTTGTTCATTGATGATGCTGTGGAAGTAGGTGAAACTTTGCAGTTGTTCCAGAGTCTCTCCATCAATTGTGATTGTGTTGTTGGTTTTTGTGATGTGTTTGAGGATGTTACACTTTGTCTTGTATATGTTGACGCCAACTGCTGTAGAGGCTTGTGCTACACCGATTTTCTTGACCTGTATTTGTTGGTGTGTATGGGACATTTGAGCTAGAACAAACATTGATGCAGAATAGTATGAATTCATATTATTTCGAGGTTTCTCGTCAGCTGCTTACAAACCAAAATTGTGATATAATTTTTTTTACATGGAGATAGTGTGAAACAATTGACATAAATGAGTGTAAATAACTGGATTACAATAATATATATATATATATATATATATATATATATATATATATATATATATATATATGCTAGAAAGAGGTCAGAGGTCAAATGAGGGGGTTAATCCAGGGTGGGTGGTGTAATAATTTATTGAAGTTCATAAATTGTGTGATAATTGTAGAGATTAATTGAATTAAATAATGATAAGGCAGATTACGTAATAATAATTAAATTGGATTTGGAAAGTTAAGATAATTTAAGAGGATCAGGTGGTGGAAATGTGTGAATAAATTTTATTTTAAGAATTAGGTAATAGGGGGGGGGGAGTATAAAATATCTTCGAATAAGTAAATGAATACAATAACCAAAACACAAAACAAACAGAAACGAAAAGATTACCAGGGTAGTGATAAGTTTATTAAAGTCTCTTTTTGGATGCATAAGTCCGGTTTCATTTTCTTAATTGCAATGACTTCAGCAAAGCGGAGAGTGGTAGTACTTTGTCTATTGATAATATCGACGGTATGCCCGGTGTCAAGTAGATGCCGAGCTATTGCACTCTTAAAAGCTTAAGTCCCTCGCAGCGTCAAGTTCTTCGGAATATGCTCAGAAATGCGAACCTGTACTCTTCTCTCAGTTCTTCCAATGTATGTGCTACGGCACGTACATTTGAATTGGTAAATGCAGTTGAAGCAACTGAGGGGAGAGGACTTGTCGATCTTCGTTTGTTTCATTGAGCAGTATGTTTTCCATAACGTAGTCAGTTTGGCTGCCGGGTAGGTCACTTTTAAAGCGGAATTAATTCTGTGATTGATAATTCCGGCGACTTCATCTCCTTTGAAGCGCAAGGATAGGAAGCAGGTTTTCTTTTCAACTGTATCAAGCTTAATCGGAGGGTTTGTATTAGCATATTTGTGGATGAATTTATACGGATATGCATTTTCACGTAGGCATTTGGTGATTGTAGTAATTTCTTCTTCGAGGCATTCTTTTGAGCAGATTTTTCGTGCGCGGTCAAAAAGGTTTCGCACAATACCCTTTTTATAACTCATTGGACAGAAGCTGTTAAAAGTGAGATAAACTCCGCTCCAAGTATTTTTGCGGTGAATGTGTCTTCGTAGTGTGCCATCTGATGTTCGCCTAATGCCAATATCTAGGAAATGGAATTTATCATCAACTTCATGTTCCATGGTAAATTCTATATCTTTGTGTACTTTACTGAACAGACTAAGTAAGTACATGGAGTGTTGGTGATTTTTGCAGGCAAGGAACGTGTCATCCATATATCTGCAGTAGAGTGTGGTACTGTCAATTGCGTGCTTCAGGTTCTTTTCAATGTTTTAAATGTTTGTTCTTGCTCTATTTAAATTCATAAAGGGAACCCATTGCATGAAACATTTGAGCTAGGTTATCTTTGTATATATGACTGACTGATAATTTAAACATATACCTGGAGAGCCGGAAACAGTAGTCTCCAGTTATTGGTATCTTATAAGGCGATTAGTGGAGTACCACTTTTTTTACTATTCAGTTTTATTATTTATCACTTTGTTACATGTAAAGTTTTATTAGTATATGATAAATATTTCGTGATATATATTTGGATATGTTTAAGTTGTAAGTTTAAGTTGTAAGTTTAAGTTGTTTTTAAAATTGACGGTAGTAACTACTTCATATCCGATTTAATTTAGTGAAGTGATTATTCGACACTTAGGCAAATGATTATTAGATAATTCAATACAATGTGTATGGTTATTTGAATGCTTCATCATATCCCTTTAATTCTTCTGCACACTTATAAAGAAGATAAAGGATTAATACATAATAATTTAAAATATCTAACAAATATAAATCATTTAGTATCAACAGCAATTTCAACCGTGTTCAAACCGTTTATATTAACTTGATCATTTAATCATTGATCATCTAATATGAAACTATTCATATCATATTGAATTCACTTTGTATTATATATTATCGTTAAATCTTGTTAAATTGTGAATTCAATACTGATTCTGAGAATCATTTTGTTACAAATCATATTATTATAGATTTATGAAACATTTCATTAGTTATTTATTCAACTTTTTAATAAGAACTATATATACGATATATATATACGATATATATACGATATGTACGATATATAACTGGAGATATATATTGATCTACATAATATTGGAAGTGATTTATTTTGTTTCAAGTTTTCTTATAAAATAAATCACAGATTATGTAGTGAAATTCAATTTTATGTTGATAAGGTTAATTATAAAATCAATATGATTTATCATTTCTAACAACCTGTTTTATTCTACCATGTAGTTATAATACAATTTCACTTAAATCTATGATCATCTTCCTAAATTTTCAAAATAACTTGATAACATTAAGTTTGTTTATATGATGAACTAGTTTAAATTAAAGAGAATCATTAAAATTTGTATTGTATTAGACAATTGTTTCATGTTTTTTTAGTCTGATAATTTCTACGAACTAATTCTTTCTTCCTGTATTATATTCTTATTGAAATCTTTCTTTTATATATTACTACCTCTGAATTATTTAATTTTATGAATCCGGTGTCCATCTTGTTGTGTGAATGTGGTATAACAACTTGGACCGATGCATATATGTGCCTGGTCCTACGTTGTAGCTGACTGACTGACTAAATCTATATGCATCAATCAATCTATAACGAAAACTTTGTTTATCGATCTCTATTATATACATTTTATCCTCTAGTTGAAATGAACCTTTCTTTATTTAAACTCTTGTCTGATTGATATTTCATATTGTTTATTCTAAAATTAACCGAGTTTTGTTTAAATGAAGATGGGAAAAATATTATATCAGAGTAAATAGATTATTTATTATTTTAATTTAGTTTATATTTAATAGAAAATTATTTGAATATTTTTGCAAATAAAACAGTTATTAGTCTACAATATTTATACTAATATTTAAACTGTTTGTGTTTTATTGTTAAAATGAAATGGTTATATATATGTGTAGATTTTTTATTTTCATTTTGTAGACTATGCTCACTGCTTTAAGTATGTCTGCAATTGCAACAAATGGGAAAGTTCCTGCAGGTGGATCGTATTTCATGATATCACGTTCAATTGGCCCTGCTTTTGGTGGAGCAGTTGGTATACTTTTTTATCTTGGTACTACAATAGCATCTGCTATGTATCTAGTAGGAGCTGTGGAAGTGTTTCTTGTAAGTATTATTTAATACTTTATGTTTGTAACCTAGTATTAGTGTTCTCAGTTCAGTTTTTAATATAATAACGTTGCATATAGAAGTCGTCGATTCTTATCTCTTAATAAAAATCATTTTTTAAAATTATGGTTGAAGTGTAAACAAGGCTACTGAAGCCATTCCATTATATCACGTAATCTCTGTTATTAACGTAATGGATGACGCAATGTTTGTATTCACTGCTCTCATCGTTTTAGCTTCCCATAAAAGTGTTTTTTCCATGAGTGTAAGGTTTGTATTGTTCCATACCAAGACTGTTGTGTTAATAAAAGTTGTTAAAGGTGCGAATACTTCGTAATTTGCTTTGTACTTTTTGTATTTCATGACAATACATCAGTTGTTATTCTTTACGGAACTCATTAACATGTCTGACCAACAACAAATGTATTACAATTGGTTTGTAAAATATATAGTGGTTTTAATTACAAAGTGATTGAATTCTCAGTTTTCATGTTGTTTATTAAACTTATTGTTTTTCGTTGGCTCATACTCTCTTTCTATTCCTACAACTAATTTGTTAGGAAATAGTTTGATTTCTTGTAGTTTACCAAAATGCACCATCAGAATCTAATAATTATTGAAATTGTATCATTTGTGTAAATAGCTATTTTCATGAATCTATAAAGGATAGTCTGTTTTAGAGTAACTAGACATACTGAAGATGTTTCAGTGAAAAACATGTTTTTTTTGTAATATTATTTACGTGAGCTGTACAATCATATTTATAGTTATCTTACATATGGTAGTCTATAATACAATGAATTACTGTTGCGTCATTTGAAAAAGCAGTTAACAATTGTCAAAGGGTTTTCAAGTATTAAAAATAGTAGTCTACAATAAAACAAGGTATTGCATTATTACGTAAAATAGTCATTAGTTTTCTAGTATTGACTATAAGTTATGCTATATTCTCAAATAATGAGGAATAATTGTTTATAAAAGAGATATAAATGATTTTATACTTTGCAAAACCGAAGGATAAAAAAGTAATTGACACTAACGATTTGTAAAACAAAAAACGGGTCTCTGGATCGATTTCGAATCAATGAATAACTTTAGCCTTAAATGTACATGGATTTTTGTTCTAAAACGTCTTTGAGAGAGTTCCTTTGATTTTTCAGCAAACCCTGTTCAATGATCTACCTAGAAGTGAGTTGACTGTGTTTTCAAGGATTGAGGCGTTGACTCACATTCCAAGCTTAAGTAGCGTTGGGGACTAGTATTTTGATATGTGTTGAGCCATTACATGGCCATTATAATCTATTTTGTAAACTCAGGTGAACTGATAAATGCACATTGAGGTGGCTCACAACGTCAATATGTCTTCGACACTATCAGAGTTTGATACCTACTGGAAAACACATTCGGAGCCTCGCCGCATAAAAGTGCTCTCTTATATTTTTTTTGGAGTATGCTCTTAAAATATTGCTGTTATGTTCTTGTGGTGGCTGGTGCTATGTCAAGTCAATGTTGGTTGTTCTAGCTTTTTGACAGACCAACTTATTCATTTTTCTCAAGCCACACTTTGACCTTGTCATTCGCTTGCTTATTGATCCTGACTGTTTTCATATGGTCGTATGTGTGTTAATTACTCATCCTACTTATTACGTGTTTGCAACATATTATTATTTGAATGACGTATGATCGAAATAGAATTACCTAACTCACCTTTTCAACTGTGCGTCACTTCGTTTTGTTTTGCTACACTATCTTTAATTCGTTTCTGTGATTGTCTGTACGGATCAATGAGTGTATGAAATGTGCGTGTTCAAAATTTGACGTACTCTGTTATTCACTAGTGCGATTTCAGTCGATAAAAATATACGAGGATTGGTGGTATGTATATTTCGATAACAATCAGCATATAGTTTAACTGAACTCAGATATAGGGCCACAAAATACTCTTTAAATTCGTTGTATATGAATGCGATTCTCTTCAGGACTTTGAGGATACTTTCAACTCGATATTTTGGTTTCAGGTTAAAGTCACGATACCTGTGAGATGTGAACCATTTTCCGTTTGTAATCTCCAGATTGTGTTCAATTCGTCATCGATAATGTTGTCTCTCCACATTCGTCTAGTTAAAGGGAATGGAGAATGGATTAGATCCTTCTCTTCTTGATAGTATTTGGTTACTTTGTCAGATGGTGCGACACGCTCCCATCTCACTGTAGACTACTAAATACAAAATAAACTATGAACACGATTGTACAGCTCAGATAAATGGGATTAGTGAAAAGAATTTCTCTCAACCTCCTTTGTTTTGTTTAATAATCTGTTTGATTAATACAGTTTTGTAACTATATTTGTTAGTGCGGTGATACTTATTCATTATTCCTAGTCTACTAAGTCATTGTTTCGCCTCCTAATTAATGTTTATATTTTTATGATAAGTTTGGTTTTTATGAAGATAACAAACGTACAGTAGTTTTTAAGCACGTAGAGGCGTAGACTTTAATATATCTATCTAGTTTTTTGAAGAATATATCTATTTTTATATCTTTTAGAAATATATATTTCCTCAGGCATCGTTATTTGGAGACATTACATCAGATGCTGCGCTATTCAACAATACACGTATTTATGGCACAATACTTTTGTTTACTGTTATGTGTTGTGTGTTCATGGGCATTCGTTTTGTTAGCCGATTTGCTGCTGTCAGTTTGGCTGCTGTTTTGATATCAATTTTATGCGTGTATTTAGGAGTTTTTACAGTGAATCCATCCAGAAGTCCGTAGTAAGTTTAGTTTTTCTCAAATATATACCCCTTCAAGTACGTATTTATAATCTTCGAAGTATTTTTATGAAGACATTTACCTCTAAATATAATTTCTATTTAATTGTATTAGTTTGGATTGATTTAATTTTCAACTGGTATACATTCTTGCTCAAATAACACCTTTGTGACCTGTTGATCTGACTCCAGTTTGATCGTCTAGTGGTGCTAACGAAATATACGTGCCGCCAACCCATGTATATAATTATCGACTTAATTCACGTTAGTGAATAATGAAATAGAATAATTCAAGTACTATAATAAACTTTTGATACGTCTATTTCATACACTGGTTCATCCAGATAGAACGTAGGAGAAATGAAGGGGAGCAGGCCAGAGAACGCAAGTGGGCAGACTCGATTTGATCAAGCGTGACTCAATATTTATAGCCAAACGAAAATAAGCCAAAAAGATTTGATGAAATAGGGTAAGTGATACACGCATACGTTCACGTAAAAAACAGTCAAGGTCATAAGCGGATGATTGACAAGGTCGAAATGTAACTCAAGATTGAAAAGTAGTTCTGTATATCCTGAATCTAGAATAATCGATGTAGACTTGACATTGTACTAAGCACTAAGATATGTTTCTATTCACACATGACACCTTCACTCTCAACGTTTTCGATTATAGATCCCCTAAAATATCTATATTTCTCGTAGATTCAGTCAATGCGTAGTGCGTAACTTAGGTGAAAATTTTACTAAGAAAAAACTTGAGCCATTGGATAATAATAGTTCATTGATTTGATGGTTACGTACTCAACACTAGTCTTGAAAACACCGTTTTCGATCATATTAAGTGTCGTGTGTATATAATTTTGATGCTTCCCAAGGTGTGATAAAGTAGCTATACAATGCTTCTACTTTTTATAGGTACTTTTACGTACTAACTAACGCCTGTTATCACTCGTGAAGGAGAATAGGTTGCCCACCATGATTCCCCACCAAACTCTATCCTGAGAAATCATTTCCACTTGTTGCTCATTCTTCTGATGTCTGTTTCCGATTGCCGACGCAATGTATCCCTCGGTCTTCTTAACCTCCGTTTCCCCTCAGGAATCCGAGTTATCACTTGCCTCATGATGCAATCTGATGATTTCCACAATCTGTGTCCCACGCACCTGCAACGTCTTTTCCCGATCTCCTCTTCAGATGGTGGGAACTGGTTTGTTCTCGTTCGCATAGTAGGCGATTGCTGACGGTATCCTGTCAAGGGACATCGAGTGTTTTGCATAGACCATTGTTTACGAATACTTATAGTTTTTCGAAGACAGTTGTAGTATTTGTCGTTCTCGTTTCAGCTGCTCACATTATAATTTTCTTGACGTTGGTATTGAGGATTGTGACTTTGATCATTTTCGACAGTTGTTTTGAGTTGAATATGTTGTTCAAGTGTATGAATGGTGTTATTACTTTTCCAATCGTTGCCTTCACATTTGCATCAGATCCTCCTTGTTCATTGATGATGCTGTGGAAGTAGGTGAAACTTTGCAGCTGTTCCAGAGTCTCTCCATCAATTGTGATTGTGTTGTTAGTTTTTGTGATGTGTTTGAGGATGTTACACTTTGTCTTGTATATGTTGACGCCAACTGCTGTAGAGGCTTGTGCTACACCGGTTTTGTTGACCTGTATTTGTTGGTGTGTATGGGATTAAAGGGCCAAGTCATCTCTGAAGTTCAAGTTGTTTAGTTGCATCCAATTTGTCCATTGTATTCCATGCATTCCTTCAGATATAAAGGTCTTCATTATCCTGATAACTACCAGAAGGAAAAGAAAGAAAGAGAATGAGTAACCTTGTATTACTCTGATCTTCACTTGGAATGAGTTTGTCAGCAATCCTACATGCACGAGTTTGCAGTGTGAGCCATTGTATGACGATCTTCTCAGCTACTATTTCTGTAGTGTCGAAGAAGGTTCCATATGCTTTCTTTATCCACACTGTTAAATTATTTCTCGTATTCAAGGACGTTGGTGTATATAATGACGAGTTCCATTAAATTGATCGTTCAATGATCACCCGTTTTGCTGCAATATAGTTTATGCAGGACCTATAGTTGCGGAATCTAACCTGTTAATTTTGAAGCTGAGCGTCTACAGAATATTTCATCCGGTTCGGCGACACTGCTGGAAACATTTCCTAGTACCGATAATAGTGTGATGCCTCTGTAGTTCTCACATTCTCTCATATCTCCTTTTTTAGTCATTTTATTAGATATTCTTTCCAGTCTGTTGGCACTTGTTCCTTGTCGTTGACTGGTTGCTCTGCCTTACTATATTTCCATGTTAGTTTCTTCGCTGTGTCATATAGATGTTTGTTAATCGATGTCTTCTTGCTCTTCTTTTGTTCAATCTTATCCAAGGTTTCGATAGAAGCGCATTACTTATGATGATGCTTCTTGCGTCCCAAAACCTCCTGACATGTTGAAGATAGTGCTTTTTGGTTTCTTTACAATTATCCTTCATAATAGTTTCTTTTGCTTTGAGTAGATCTTGTAAGGCTTGTGATTTGTTTTCGGGAGCTGTCTTGAATTCGTTGAGTTTGTCAGTATGTCGAAGGAAGACTGTATTGGTCTTTCGTAATGTTGTTTCCTCAATTGTCGATTGCTTCTTTGTCTTCAGTTTCATTTTGAAAACCACCAGGTAGTTATCTGAAGTTATGCCAGCTTCTCATCTGGTTCTCACGCCTTTTATTGACCTTCTGACTTTTTTAGTAATGTAAATATGACAGATCTGGTTCTGTGTGGTGTGAACCAGTGAGATCCATGTAGTTTTGCGTATGCGTTTGTGGGATTGAATGCACGTAAATCTGCGGATTTGTCAGCATTCTCATTTCTTCCTCTCAATCAGTCCATTTCGCCCTATGATATCTTCATACCTAAGGTTGTCCATTCCGACTTTGGCATCTAGATCTTTTATAAGGAAGGTCAGGTCTTTTCTTGGACACTTCGCTACAATCAATTGCAGTTTCTCATAAAATTGATCTTATAGTCGTTTCTATGATTGGTGGGTGAATAATATTGGATAACATTCATTGTGATCCCCTTCCTCTTTGTTTTGAGAAATACTGTGATTATCTTGGATCCATGAGATTACCATCGTGTATGTTTGGTTAGAATCAGCACAACTCTCTGAATGTGCGGAGCATTCTCTTCTTCATGACCAGAGTACAATAGCGTCTCTCTTGAATCTAATGTTTTCTGTTCAGCTTGGGTTTAATGCGTTTCACTGATTCCGTGCACCGTCACGTTGTATGTCCTCATTTCTGCACATTTTCGACAGTACCCAAACATTTTGTGTACCTATGTTAATGTTTGATCTGGTTGTTAAAAGGGGTATCAGCCATGTGACTTCGAAGAATTTCAGCTTTCACCATGAAACGTTCTACTGAATAAAGATCTTTCAACTAGGAGGGCAGAGTTTCAATGATTTAATTTGTTTATCCTGGTTAGCGTTCTTTTATCAAGGTTTTCTACGGAATGGGGTTAGTGGCACCATGCCCAACCTTTCACCTTTAACTGGGTTTGGGACCGACAATAACCCTAAAAGTGCTTCAATAGGAGTTTCTCTATGGTTTGATAACAAATAATATAATATTTATATTATTATATTTTATAGTCATATAACTTGTATTAGTTACAAGAGACAAAGGAATGAAACATGGATGTCAAGTATAGAATGAACATTTAACAGATAGATAATTTATTACCATCAAATGAACGAGTTCTGTCCATCTTATAATAAATTCAATTAATTAGGGTACAATTAGATGTAGTTCAGTGGGAAAAAAAGTTCTTCTTGATGATATCCTTCACCCTTGCTTTATAATCATACTCATCATAGTAGTTTAACAAATAAAGTAGTCTGCTGGAAAATAGAAGTGTCATATGATTGAGTGTTTGAAAATTTCATAGATCAAAAAGGGGTTGTATAAATATCAAATTTTTAAAATGTAATCAAATTTATGGAAGATAATTGTTTACTTCCCTATTCTTACGCAACCCTTCTTTGACATGAAATTTCTAAACATTTTCTTTTTTTTTGTTAAATCACAGTACATACAATGAAATAGTAGTAAAAATGTTCTCCTAGTGAACTCGTATTCAAATCCCTCTTCAACTAAATACAACAGGCTTTTTTAGTTATTTAAAAAGTTCAGATTTACTAATCGTCCAAAATTAAAAGCTAATTTCAAACATCCATTATTTTTTTTTCTTCTAATAATTAAACTCTGTTACAGATAATTTTGATTCTGATGTTACAAATTTTTTTCCGGTCATTAAACTTTTGTTGTTAGATATAAATTTATGGGGGTAGAGGAGAAAAAAAAATCTAGTTTATACTGATTGATTGACGTGATCTATTTTGATTTTTCTAAATATCAGATTAATTTTTTTATCACTGTCATTTTCATCACAACAACTATTTCGAGGTTTTTTCTTTCCCCCTTCTTTCTTCTTCTTCTTCAACAAAACTGTTTTCTTTTTTTTTTTGAAAAAAAAAATTTAAATTCACGTCATTTTGTTAATAAATACTCATAATATTTACTTAATAAAACATAATTTTTAACAAAATATTTGATATATTTATTTATTACTGAAATTTCATTATTCAATCTCATGTTTAAAGAATAGGCGTGTATCCAATATACATTTCATAGTTGAATGGGAAAGGGTAATTGGGTAGGGAAAAAATATGTAATGCTTCAAGCATCATTCAATGTTAATTTTAAGTGCTTCTTTTTATATTTTGAAAGTTTAAGCTGGTTAAAATACTCATTTCAATGATATTTATATTATTTTGCAATAGAAATTTTACAATCTATAACCTCTTTTTTACTTGTTAAAAAAAATGAAAAGTATCAATCAGTTAACTGTTGCTAGTTTATCATAGATTTTATTATGTTACTGAATCAACATAATATTTTCGTTCATGTTATTGATACTTGTAATGAGGAAATAAATTAAATCATGTGGAAATTTTTATTTAGATATTTTAAAGAAAAAGATGAATAAAGCTAAAAAATATTTCTTCTTGTGTAGTTGTTTTTATTATTATGGCTTTCCTTGTTTATAATGCTTATTTCTAATTGTTGCATGACTGTAACAATCTCTACGTGATTATATAACTGTTATTCAAACTTTGTCAATTTTTTTATATCTTATAGTGTAATTTATCAATTTGATATTTACTTATTCCAGTCAGTCAATGAAACACAACGTAAAATCTGGCATTTATTCTAATTCCATATATGTATTAATTAATACATTTGAATCTTAACTAATTTATTTATCCCATCTTGAATTGATTTTACTGATCATTCTTCAATATTTACACAAACGCTTTTGAATTTGTTATACAACTATCCATTATACCACTACTTGATTGATATTGATGTTCTTAATATTTTACATGTCCAAATAACAGACTGACCTGACAACTACTGAAATTAGGAGGTATTGGACGAATGTTTTATTCTAGTCTCCTTTGCAGTGCGTATCAACGAGTTTAAATGAGGTTAAACCCAGGGAACGTGATTCTTATTGCAAGCACCTAGGTTCTAAACTACTGAGCTAATGTTTAGTGGTTAACATTTTCAACGTTCATTAGTTGGCAATATTGTAAAACCACCATACATTACTTTCAGCGACATCATGAACGTACTCCCCTTGGTAGTTGCATACTAGGATGAAATAGTTGTCTGGTATTTCCTGGTTTCAAACAGTTGTCTAACTAGGATTTGCACATGTCTTTATCTATAATATAAACCAGTGTGGAGTTATAATGAAAAAATAACTGGAATGAAATATTTTTTCGCCTTACTTGGGTGTTGGTAGTTATCTTAGAAGTTTCGCCTTTATTTATCAGAAAGTTTAATCATATACACTATTGCTTTGTATATCTACTGAATGTTCGGCTTATAAATTAGATAACTGATTTGACTATAATTCATCCTAATGGGATATATATAAGAGATTGTTATATAATAGGTTGATGGTGCGAACCCAGTAAAAGTACTTTTATGATAAATTTTTAAATCCAAAAGGTCTTTTTTATGTTTAACGACGATTATTGTTGGTCAAAATTATTCTTGTTTTTAAGGCATATTTCTCCTTTTGATATTGATTTAGTGTTTGTGCATTGGGTGGACGTTTATTAAGTCAAGATTTTATCACTGTCAACGGTACTGCACAATGTCATAAAAATACCACAGGTCCTATTTATGAAGCATATTGTAATAATCGTGAAATAGCAACAGAGGAATCATGTGCATTTTTTAACGCTAACAATATCAGTTATTTTCCTGCTATGCCTGGTTTAACTTCAAAGAAATTTTTCGGTGAGTCTTTGTTTTTATGTCCACTTTTTTGGCAAAATTTTCCTTGGAACAAAGAAAAGTGTTGTTGAAGAACAGTAGTGGATTATCTTTCAGATAATTCCTCCATGGTAACAAATCCAGCTCTTCACTAGGGTTTTGGCTTCAATTTCAGTTGAGGTGTCCTTCAATAGCTTCATTACCAGCCATCGTGTGAATATATCGACGCATGTAAAAATATAGTTGGGAGTAGTCCCACTATATCGATGTGTATGTGTTTGAATCTAGTATCGGGGTAAGGGAAAAATCCGCTGCGGAACTAGTGTGACTATATGCTTTGACGTTTAGATACTTAATGGATGCTTTTATCCAACTACGAATATACAGATTCATGTTTAGTCGTACGAGACGTTCGCTGACCAGTTTGGACGTGGCTTTTATTCCAGGATGGAATATATTATGCATAATATATAATACCTTTCGTCGTAATGGCTTCGGGATAAACAGTCGCAGTTGACCTATTGACATGTCACATAATACTTTTATGCCACCTAATTGAACTTCGAATGCCAGCAGAATTGTGTAATCGGATTTTGGCCTGCTGAATTCAACATCCGCCTTTTGCAAAGCCACCATATTATGATGATTGTCTACAGCTTGAATGAAAGCGTTTATTGCTGTTCTAGATGGTGCATCCACTACTTCGTTTTTACTGTTTTTAATATATCTTACACCAGACGTAAATTGGGAAATGAATTCTAATCGTTGAATTCCCCTCGCAAAATAATTATCTCGTTTGGCTCTCAATGTTTTCGTAAGAGGTTTATGATCCGTGTACACAGTGAAAATTGTATCTCCTACTAGTGTTGAAGGTGCTTTACTGACAAGTAAATTGCTGGCAATCCTCTTCCGAACGTATTATACTGCGTCCGAGTAGGATTCAATCTCTTTGATAAAAATGAAAGAGGTTCGAATGTGCTACTTATAACTACCACCGTACGGCTCCTACTGTCTCATTCTATATATCCAATCATGATGGCTGATGGCATTTCACTCTTTCGTCTGACTAGTAGCAACGTATTTTTGTTTAGTGTTCGCTTGGCATTCTCGAATGATTGTATAGCCTCTGCTAGCAGATGGGATGTCCGGGCATGTCCTCGCAAGGCGTCCGTCAGTGGTTGCAATATTTTCACACAGTTCGGGACAAATCGTCTATAATAACTTATTAGCCTCGAAAATCATCGCAATTTTTTTCTGTTGTAGCTGTGATGCAGATTAGAGCGAAGCGTATTATCGACCCGACCAAAGACGCGTAAAACACGTAAGAACGACCTAGAGTTCTGATTGACCCTGCTTCCCTGTCTAGCCCAGCCAGTTGAGGCCAGAACACAAATCTCAGCCTCTGCAATATGAATCATTATATTTCAAGGATACTGAGTTTATAAACCAAACAAACCGACCACAACGTATCAATAAAATATGAACAACATTTGTACAGGAATTAGCCAGAGGTGGCTGTAAATGAGGGAGGTAGCGATTAACAGACAGGGAATAATTCATGAATGGTAAACCGTATAATAATAATTCATGGGTCAAAATAAAGCTCATAATAAGAGGAGCATGAATATGAACCGTTTAGTTTCATAACAATTATACGATAAAAATATACTCATAATATTGGTCCATAAACGGATCCCATGATTTGGATAAAAGTCACGGATAGCAGCAACTTCTTCCTGAACTGGTGTGATACATTGGGAAGTTATCATGTGACTTAAGTATTTCAGAGATTTCTTTCCAAATTTAAACTTTTCAACGTTGATATAGATGCTATATTCTTGAAGTCTCATGAATAATTGTCTTAATTGCTTTAGATAATCTTCCGCCGTAGCGCTAGCTACTAGCAGGTCGTCGACATACGCATATTTCCCTTTCCAAACTTCTGATAATCTGGTTAATAAGTCACTGAAAATTTTGTGCTGCATCTGTTAATAGAAAGGGAATGGGTAAAAACTCGAAATACCCGAATGGGGTCGCCTCTGCTGTTCTACGTATGATTTCTTGGGGGATGAGAACGTGATAGTAAGCTCCGAAAAGGTCAATCTTTAAAATAGTGGTATCTTTCATGTCATCAGTAAATCCGTGGATGATTTGTATCGGATATCCATCAGCTATTGTTCGCTTTATAAGAGCTCGATAACCTCCACAAAGCCTGATTTCTTCATATTTTCTCAGAATCATGTTCAACGGCAACTCAAAGGGCTACTCGAGCGCCTTATAATGTCGAGCTTCATAAATTTATCGAGTTCTTGTTTTGCTACTTTTAGTTTTTGTAGGTCCAACCTTCGTGGCATTGTATTTGCTGGTGGCCCTTTCGTTACTATATGATGCTGAGCAGTGTGCTTGAGATCTGCGTTATAGTACATTATCTTTGCCAGCTCAGCAAACTCTGTTAACAGGGATTTATGTGCCACCAAATTCATAGAAACAGAATCGGCAATTAAATCCTCTTATTGTCTTGTTACGGTCACCGTTTATTAGTTGCTGTCATTGAGAGTCAACTAATACATCGAAGTTTTATACTTATAATAAGGGATACATATGCTTTAACAAGTTCTTATCGAAATGAAGTACATCGAGTCAATTCCTGCTTCTTATACGCTTCAATTTTGTACTTAATCGTTGCTTTTAGCATTAGTTAAGTATTAACGTCTCATCTTTCATCACTTACAAAGAGCATGGCGCTAATTTCTGCTTCTGTATCTACTGAGAATTGTGCGCCTGTCATTTGGTCCTGTATGTAGAAACGACTTTTCCTACGAGTTACGCCAGCTAAAACAGTCGTCACCGGCAGCCAACGCGATCATTTCCTTGTTGTGTTTAGTCTGAAAGGTGGTTTACACCCCCTAGCTCTGTCGCCATACGTTTGACGATACTAAAAGAATGATGAAGGTAGATGTCTTTTGGAGAACGATTCGTTTCTGGTGCACGATCATCCTTTACGTGTAATGAAAATAACAATAATAGTAAACCACAACGATAATTATAATCCACAATAATCCGAATCGAGACGAACTATGCTGTTTTTCTAATTTAGATCGTACCGTATATATATATATATATATATATATATATATATATATATATATATATATATATATATATATATATATATATATATATATATATATATATGGGAAGGCGAGCGATTCATCGAGTGATTTAAGCAATTAATATTTAAGCTAGAAAGAAGTATATGTACGTAGGCGGTCACATGTGATTAAGCGTGCGTTTTCATACAGACACAATAATAATATTAAGATATACAAATCACTGCTTTTCGAATAATACTATCTGTTATACAAGGTAATTGATAGGTTTGACAAAATTAAACGTAAATAAACTTAAGTATAGAAGAGGTGCTATGGGACGAATCTATAGCTTGCATTATAACGACTGTTGGTTTTTCTTTACTATTAAAATGAAATTTGATGGCATGACCATAATTTACAAAATAGTGGTAATTAAATTGTTCACAAAGTATTTGTTCAAACATATAATACTACGGCATACTGCGAAACGAATTATCTGTTTGCTACCGCGTTTGAAATTAAATCTGAGATACTGATAGCCTGATTACTAGAGTTCACTTTTGTTAAAACTGATTTACTACACAAGCAATAGTAACTGATTATATGTCAGAAAGTATTCAACAATGCTGGGGGTGTGTGCGAATGCTAGACTTAAACTACACTTGTTTTAATGTCATTCCAAAGTTATGATCTGATATTGATAGCTAATAATCGATTACCGATGAAGTTCACAGCTTTCGTTTGGGTCTTAATGGCATAATAAAAAATAGATGTGATTGGAGATATATGTAGACGACTAGTTATCAATAGAATTTAAGTTCCTTTAATCTGTTTTGTTCATCAAAAAGATAATCAGATTTTGTTCTGTTTTATTCCCGTTTTATTGAATATTAGAAAGTCAAGTTTTAGCGGGTGCTAAAACGGTTACTACAAATGGATTCGTGAAAATTACTTGTTTCTAATGTATAGTGATTAAGTTAAACTGCTTTCTGGTAATTATGAATAGAATTCTGTATTTTTTTGACGTAATATGAAACTTATGGAAGTATTATGTCGTGATCGCTTAATAAGCAAGACAGCTTTCTTAAATAACAAACCAAACTTTAAGATTATCCATCAGTAGCTACACTGTCGTTATATCATCAGTTCAAGATCATAAACGATGGACATAAAGTTTAGTTTTTCTTATATGGTCTATTTACTAACTCTTATGAAACAACTTTGTTCATCTTCGTAAACTGATCTTTTGCAATAAGCTTAATAGATAGATCAACTATCGTCCGATATACGCGATCACTAAACTACAGTTATTTTAGAGAGGGTTGTGTATTGTCTAGAGTAAGTAATATCTGAATTATTATTTTACTTTTTATGATGGGAATTTATAATTCATTTTTACTTACTATTTTTCCAAGACGTAATAATATTATTTCTACTCGTTAGTTAGGGGTGTCTGGATTCGTGTTTATGTTAGAAATGGGATTTGGAGCCAGTACTTTTAGCTTCAATCACCCATCGCCTTATCCACCAATGAAAATTCACTCAAAAGTATTAACAACGGGATAGTTTAAACTTTTTCTAATAACGAGATGAGTATCATACTTATTACAGCTATCTGGGTTCACTATCTTAGTGAATAACTGTGGCGTTCGTAGCGAGAAATACTTGGTTAGAATCGCGATGTGAACATCGACACTAGCATGAAGGCATACCCAGCTGACAGTATATTATATGACAGTTTGTCACATTCTACTTTATGATTATGAGACGTGGCTCTTAAGAATAAGGAATATTTACAGGTTAATAGTATTCGATGATAGATTTCTTCGAAGAATTGCTCGTACATATTTGAACTATCGACTTGGCAATGATGAGATTCAAAGCAGGGTTACTTATTTACTTACGCCTGTTACGCCCAATGGAGCATAGGCC